AACTTGGATGGATGAAGGTTTTATAATGAGTGAAAAATACTAGTCCTCAAAAGTCACATATGGGTCCTGTATATATGTGTGGCATTGTATGATGCCATCTGTCTAACATTTTCAAAATAACACTGTTATAGAGATGGTGAAGAGATGAGTGGTTGTCAGTTGTTAGGGAGGTGGTGTATTGGGAAGAGTTTGTGTTCTAAAGAGTAGCATGAGGGAGAACTCTGTTCTGTGGAATAGCTCTGTACTTGATTATGGTGGTAGTTACACAAATGTATAGTATGATAAAACCTAGACATAGACCTATACACATACATTACACCAAAATCAGTTTCCTGGTTTTGATATTATACTTTAATATTTAACTTAAGATAAAAATATTTGAAGGAACTGGTTAAAGCTGTATGCAGAATCTCTCTATACTGTCTGCAATATCCTGTAAATGTATAATTTTTTTAAAGTAAAAAGTTTTTTAAAAGTGACTTTCTTTCTGACATACAAAGCTCTCACCACACTAAGTGCCAGCAAGGAAATAGAATTCCAGAACAATCATTCCCATTCATTGCTGGTGGGAGTGTAAAATGGTATAGCCGTTTTGGAAGACATTCTGGCAGTTACTCACAAAGCTAAACATATTCTCACTGTATGATCCAGTAATTACATTTCTAAGTATTTACCCAAATGAGTAGAAGATTTATGTCCACACACATACATAGGAAAGCAAGTCTTCCACCTTCCAGATAGGTCCCCAATTTCACAGCCGTGTGGTTTGAATTGGATAGAACCATCTCTAGCTCTTAAAGATGACTCAGACTGGCCTAAAGTAAGTAATGTTATCCTGTTCCTCAGCCAGTCACTGTGGCAAAGATTAGGGGCAGAATTGTTGGGAGCTGGCCACGGAGGCCCACTGAGCGTTAGGGATCAGGAAGGGCCGTTGATCCCGAGACCACTAGGATATGTTCGGGAGCTGTTGATCCCATTCCCTCCCTCCTTTTCCATTGGCACAAGCAATCAGGAAAGGCTCTTGCTGGCTCTGATAGAAAACTCTGAGACCGAAACGTACACAGTTAAATCTGGGAGTCTATTGTTCCCATTTTCCACAGTTTATGGTTTTTGCTTTTAAACAATTTAAGTTTAACTTTGAGTCACATTGAGGAGCCTTAGTGCAAGTCACAGGTTTTCTTCACGTGATTTTAGAAATTTATAGATATAGGTTTTAGAAAATAGTTTATATAGATTAAGAAAATTTAAGTAACCATTTTGTTATAGAAGTATGGTTAGTTTGGGGGGCCAGTAAAGTTTAAATTAGGCCAGCTGGTGCTAGGAGAGTATAACCATAACAACAATTGTTTTAATATAAACTAGTTTAAATTAGTACAAAATAATAAAAGTTAATAATTTACTATGGTGGTTTTGGGTTTAGACATTGAGTGATGTTAATTTAAGATGATATAGTTGTAATACAATTAAGGGCACATAAGAAACTGGTTTGGGGAACATTAAGCTAGCATAAGATACAAAAAGACAATTTGTGGCTGTTCTCCCTCATGTTCTTTCTTATGTATAAAAAACATTTGCTTGAGAGTTGGGTGGTGTCCTTTGTGCACCCGGACCTGTTCATGTGAAAGACACATGCTACCTTTTGTTTCCTGTGATGATGACTTTGCAGAGTTTAGGGATAAAAGCCCTGGGATAACATTCAATAAATGGCTTCTGCACTAGACAGGAGTCCAGTCTCTTTCTTTCTCCCCCCTTTTCTTTCTCTTTATATCTATCCCTCCAGTTTATATCTATCCCTCCAGTTTAAATCGCTGATGCCGTCACACCGCCAGAGACCCCTCATCCCTGCAGTGGCAGGATCCCCACACAGAATGTTGCTGAGAGACAGATGTTTCCTGGTTCAGACAGAGAAAAAGCCAACATAAGTGGATAGCAACTAACTGTAATAGAATTTGTTGATTGCAACTGGGTAGTAGAATTGAATCAATGGATAGAGATGGGGGTAGATAAGCAGTCTCTTTAAGCCATTTAGTGTCCACATCTAGAACTGGGAGTGAGGACCCAATCCTACTGAAAGTTATGACTGGAAAGTTCAGGTTGTTTCATGGAAAGGAAAAGAATAGTATTGGAGACTCTGATTTATAAGGTGGAAAAATAGCCCTGGAGGGAGCCACCAAAGCAAATGAAATCGGCGGTCCTTGTTTCTTATTCACTAGTAGCTTTATTATATTTTTTTTTTGTAGATACACAATCTTGCTATATTGTCCAGGCTGGTCTTGAAACTCCTGACCTCAAGTGATCCTCTTATCTTGGGCCTTACAAAGTGTTGAGATTACAAGCATGAACCATTGCACCCAGCCCTGCTTTGATGATTAGTATGTTTAAGTCTACAGACATACCGTCCTGAACACACCCAATCTTGTCTGATTATTAATATGTTTTTTAACAGTGAGATCTTGATTAAGAGCAAGAAAGAATAAGCATTTAATTGTTCATATAACTAACAATTTGAAATGAAGAACAGTAAAACCAAAATCTAAGTATTTTTAAGAAAGTAGAAATGCAGAAGGTGGAATCATCTTTTTAGAATGTCAGAATTGTAAGTTGACCTCTGAGCCACTCAGTGTACTCACTTAGGTGAAAAGCAATGAAGGACTCAACGGAAGAGAAATACCGATGCTACAAGTGACAGCAATTTTACCAAAAACGGCAGACTTCTGTCTTGAAACATGCCTGATACACAAACATGAATTTTTAATATCCTTAGTTATTATTATAATCATTACTATCTTCTTTAAATTTAAGAAACAATATCTAGAAAAAAACCTGGCCTATATTCACCATGTTTACAATATAATATGAAATCCATAGTATACGGTGTTTTATTATTAGATTATGATTGAGTATCCATTCACTTAAACTGCCATTAACCATTGCTAGCTATGTGCCTATTATCTTGTACTCTGGTAGTTGGTGTCCTGTATTGATTAGCTTATGCAGAAAAACCACTGGAGTTACTTACTTAATCAAAGTGTATAGCACAGTACTTTATACATCATAGATTATTTCAGTGGTTCTAGTATTTTTTAAAAGTTCTAATATTCTCATACCATACAAATCTCTCCTTTAAAGTGTACAGTTGATAGGTTTTTATTGTATTGTTAAGTCTGTACAACTGCTATCTCCATCCCTGTTCAGGACATTTTATCACCCCAAAATGAAACTTTGAACCCATTAGCAGTCTCATTCCCCATTCCCCCCTCCCAAAAGCCCTTGGCAACTGCTAATCTACTTTTTTTGTCTCTATGGATTTGCCTATTTTGGACACTTTGTATAAACGGAATCATAAAATAAGTGGTCTTTTGTGACTAGCTTCTTTCACTTAGCAAAATGTTATCAAGATTCATTCATGTTGTAGCATGTATCAGTTATTTTATCCTTTAATGACTAGATAGTATTCCATATTTTGTTTTTCCATTCATCCATTAATGGACATTTGAGTTTTCACTTTTTGGATATTTTGATTTGTATTTGCATGGTATATATTTTTCTATTTCTTTGACTTTAAAGCTACCTATATCACTGAAATGAGTTTTCTGCAGATAATATATAATGGTATTTTAAAAATCATTTCTGCACATGTGTTTTTTAATTGTTCTGTTTACATGTGCTCTTAATGTTATTATTGCTATGTTTATCTATTTTGATTTTTTTTTACTATATCTCTTTGCTTTTTTTTAAATACAGAATTTTAATTAGAAAATGTGTAAAGTAGGAAAAAACCCTGACAAGAAAGACCAGGTGGAAAATGGGTTCCCAGTAAAATGGAATTTTAGGGCAACAAAAGTCCAAAAGGCCACAAAAGAGAACTAGCACCACTGTCATTTGAACAATGGCTAGTTACTTGCATTGTTTGGCATTGTTAATCACTGAATCTGGGTTTTCCTCTGAATTCCACACTGAGCATGCACTACCCAACAATTTTATCATAAAATACTTGCTTTCTACACACATTTTAGGACAAGCTACCACCAGAAACAAATCAATACAAATACATCAGGGCTGAACAATCTCAGTGGTTGGTGAGATACACTGGGCAGAATCCCACCCACCAAAGGAAATGAACAGGCTATAGGCAAAGTAAATGAGGGGGATTCAAGGAGTGAAAGATATTAAATATTAATAATTAATTCAGACACGGTACTGTATTTTCTGCAAAAGAAACTTAACATTTAGTAACACACTAATGAATTTCATCTCCAAAGAGATTAGTGCACTGGCAAATTCCCGAGAACACCCCAGCCCTGCAGATGCCAAGGTCAGGACAGTCTTCACTGATCACTCCCTCTGTCAGAGGGCCCAAGGAGTTGCAGCATGATGACCTGCCTCTGTACTTCCCACTCTAAGCAGCAAACTTGAAAGAGCCAAAGAGGAGTCCCCAGTGGGCAAGGGGAGCAGAGAAACGTGTTAAATGTAACTCTAAAACATGGTAAAATGGGACATAGCCACATTCTAACCCCAGACACATGGGCAAGTCCCCAAAGTTGTTAGTTTAAAAAAAGAAAAATGGGCACACCTCATTTTCCAAAGAGTATAAAACATGGAAATTTGGGAGATACTGGAAAAGCTGTCAGATAAACACTAAATGAAAATCAAGCTCTTCAACCCAAACCTCTCAGGGCTGAAACACACCCTCTATTCATCCAGTCAACAGTGTCTCTTGCTTTTTAGCAGGGATGCAATTGGTCAAAGACACCAATGGATCTACAGAGCAATTTTTAAACATTCCTCTCAGACCAAAGCCCAGGCCTATGAGGATTCAAGCAGCCCCTAAGGCCTGTGACAGCAGACTCCAAAGGTCCCAAGGTCTGGTCCTTTCTTCCCAGACACAATGCCAAACACGTCAAATCTCCCATCATGTTATATTTTATATTTTGAAATATGGAAGTGCATTTTAAATACTCTTAAGGTATTTATTTATCACAACATTCTCTAATTTCACACTAGCTTAAAATTCAATTCAGTCTTTACACTTCTCTCCTGAGGTTACCACCTCAGCGTTTTCATAACGCCTTCTCCTGCATCCACAACGGTAAGCCCCACGGTGAGCCTCTCTGTTTCTCAGGTGAGCCAACTAGATGTTAATACTGCTCTGCTACAAGGTAAAAAGCTCCTAACTCAAACTTATCAGAAAAGGAGTGAAACTTCTGCAAAGTGCACTTTAAGAAGAGGTACTTTTTGCTTATGAAAAGAAACCAGTGAGTCCTCTAAGAATAAAAGGGAGTATTTTACAGTTAAGCACATGATTTGGAGTGAAGAATTCAGATGTTCCTCTTCTGGTCTGGGCTGTTAATACTCTTCCTGCTCTTCCTGTGGGCCCCCTTCATCAGGTATCACAAAGCCTTTGTCTGTGGCATAGAGAATGTCTACAGTCCTCTGCAATAAAGGGTCGTTTTCCCCCTTGTTCTCCTGGCAAATCAATTCAATGTTCCTTAGCTTTCCAAAGTAGAATTCTCTCTCTTTCTCCAAGTCTTCGACAGTAAGTTTCAATACGCTGACCTGCTGCATCAACTCAGTGGCCTCATCATCCCCGTTGTCTACACCAGGATTCTTTCGCACTACCCCAGGGCCAGCCTTAGTAGCTGCAGTAGTCCTCTGTACTACTGAAATGGGCCTCTGGGGAGCTGCACTGCTAGAGCTGAGAGGTTTCTTCGGTTTATTCGGTGCTGGAGCAACAAGGGAGGGAGCCACTGCAGTTTCTTGACCTTGTCCGGCAGCCACAGTGTCATAGTCTTTTCCATCATAGTTTGCATCAAAAAACTTCTTAGAACCACTGAACAAATTGAAAATTGTCCTGAAATTTTCCTTTTACTAATTTATCCACAGGAATTATTTTGTCAACACCCATTCTCTTAAAACCTGCTTGAAGTATCTTGAAGTTCTGCATGTACTCATGTTCTAGCTTAGCTTGGAATTTCACTTTCTTCAAGGCAATAGAGCCAGGGAACAGCATGTCCATAAACTGACAATAGGCAGCTCATGAGCACAACTGTTCAATCTTTGTTAGGTTCAACTGCAGAGACTCATTGATCCAGGCCAGCATGTCATGTCGTCTTAGGTTATCACTGATGACTGACGTTGAATATACGTTCACTGCCATCTTCGGCTCTCGGCGGAACCATGTCCACTGCCCACACTGACTCTGGTTCCATCTTCCTCTTGTTCAAACCAACTGAAACCGCCCGCCCACCTGCACGATCCTCTTTGCTTTTTTTTTTTTTTTTTTGAGTTGGAGTCTCACTCT